CACTCGTTCAGGTAATATTATTTATATGTATATCTGTGCAGCAGTGATCTACTTCTAACATTATGATAACTTAGCTACATTATGATAATTTAGCTCTAACAGGAAGATATGGTGTATTTTCGATTTGCCAAGCTCCCTTAAGGCGTTTATATATATAATTTGCTGTCATCTATTTTCTTATATATTCTTTTTGTAAGTTTTATTTAATTTTTTTCTTATGGCATGTAATACGAGGTAATCATTTTTGTAAATAACTCATCCAATTTCCTTATTATCTATACAAATTGGTAATTTGACTTCATTTTATAAGCGTAACGTGAATACCACACAAAATGGAAACATCCAATTTATTTTGGGTGTTCCTCCAATGAATGTAAAAATCATATTTGAAGTCATAACGGTTTTTGAATATTATGTGTGCTAAAACTATTCATTTGATTTAGAAATTCCATCTAGAACAAAAGATGTTCAACATAAAAACAATTTCCACTTCATGAGAAAGGATAACAACAGAAATTCAGCTGTCCTTGAGCAGCTTCACATTCTGAATTTTTGGTAATGTTAACTTATTTTCTATCTAAGCACACCTATAAGCAGGTAATCATATGAAGGAAGTTGTTATCATGTCTAAAAACTGTAGTAATAATAACAAAATAGCTATCAACTATTTAAGATCTATAAAGTTGGGTTTCCACATATAAATATATTAATTTTAACTGCATGTTTATAGTACTTATTCCAACATTTCTTATTCCCTGTTATATACTACTTAATATTTCAAGTCCAGCAATGTGTACATGTCCGACAATATAGTCAGCTTTCTAAATACCTAATTAGTTCATGTAATTCGGTTTATTTCAGTTGCAACTTCGTGTGCGCACGTGCCACATGCAACTAGAATTGGATAGACCAAATGGACGGTACTACGTGCGTTTGCATCGTTTCGTTCCATATGTTAATTCCATTTGTACGGATAATTTCTTTTAACTGCTTGTCAAGTCCTTGAAAATGTGTGCTTTCTCTCCAATTATTATTTAATTGATTTAAAAAGTAGCACGGACTGCCAAAAAAATTAATAACATGAATTACTTTTAATTATAAATTCAAAATAAAAGATAGTTGAGAGCAGCTTAAAGCCACAAAAGTCAGCATAAGCTTGGAGAATTACTTCAATTTAAGCGTCGCAGAAACATAATTAAAATATGTGAAGACACATGGGCTACATAAGCATAGCTAGCTGCAGGTTAAAACAGCCGCATGCAGCACTGGGGCAACAGAAGCGGCCCAAAGAAGCGGAAACTAAGTCAACAACTTTCCATTTTGTCAATGGCTGCTGCTGCTGTTGCTGCTTGGCTGAGTTGTTTGGCTTAGCTGGGCTCGTCCACTCCGTCTCCTTCTCATCGTCGTTCTGTAAGTGACACACACTCTGCATATGAAACTAGAAATAATTTTTCAATTCACAAATGAAACTTTTCACACACAGACACACGCACGCAGCTGCAGATCTAAGAGAAACTTTAAAGTTTGCAAACGCAGCTCCCCCAAAGGCCAGCGGTAAACCAGAAGGGGGTCGGGGAACTGGTGGCTTTGTTGCTGCCCAGTTCAGTTGCAATCGTCATTTGCAATGTACTCTCTCCGCTCTGCTGTGTATTTCTTGGTGTTTTTCACCACTGCTGGGCTGCCTTTCCTTTCTGACGCCGCAAACTCCAGAAGGAAATTACAAACCGAAAGTAAACGCCAAGAGCGCAGACCCAGACCAAGGGGCGACCCTACCTACCCTACCAGTTTTCACTGGGTAGTTGTTGAGTGTCAGTATCATATCCTGTGCCAAAAGTGCAAACCAGCCCCCAATCCCCATACACAGCACCCTCCTGTGGCCCGACAACGAGTGCTGCTGCACATTACAAATGAATAATTTATGCGCGTGTTCAACTGCAGATGGATGGAGCTGAAGCAGCAACCAGCCACTCGCAGGCCAGCCGAGGAACGCGGTGGGGCAACCGAAACTGGGAGAGCGGCTAACAACATAGTCCTGGTCAACGCCAAATGAGTTGTGGCAGCGTCTCGCTGGTGCCGTAAAAGCCAATGCCAGGCAGCCGGATAGCTGTTGCTCGGCACAAACTAAAATTTCGAGCTCTCTCCTCCGGCTGCTACGTGCAGCAGCTGAATATGGCTCTGGAGGGGTGTGAAAATTATCTGCTTGCCACCAAAAAGTAGACGGAAGAAAGCATCAGCTCCAAAGTTATTAGAGCAAAATTTTTGCCTTTGCCTAAGTAATGGCCAAGTGCATATCTCTCAGCACATATTGAGTTATGACTTAATTGGATAAGAGCCAGCTACATCTATATATAAATACATATATATATCTATATATATGTATTACACGTACCCAGGCAACCGCAAACTTTGGCTAAAAGTTTTGAAGACCTTCCTTTTTGGTAGTGGCCGCAAAATTGTGTTGTGGATTCCACTTGGGCTTCGTCTGCCGTTGGCTAAGTGAAGTAGGCGACAGTTTTGGTTAGTTGAAAGTTCTCGCGGCGAGTTTTAAGCTTTATTAATTGGACAATGCCTCTAGCACACTAGTTGTTTTATATATATTTTATATAGTGAAATTCTATAAAAACTTTTCTTAATTTAAAAAATTCGAATAATTTTCATATCAAAATTAATTGCTTTTACCGGTTAATAAGATTTTAATAACATTGGCATTCAACGATCCATGCTGCTGATTATGCTTGCTAAAATATATGAGAGTTTGTATTTTAATAATAATTATTCATTTACCAAGCTTAAAAGTGTTTTAGCTCAGAAGTGACGACACCAATGTAAGTACCTCAGAGTCGATATTTTACAAAGGCTGTTGCAGTTGACACAGTTGGAAACAACAGCAACACTGCAGAAAATAAAAGAAATTGTAACAACGACAAAGTGACAATACAATTTGTGCTCATTTCTCAGTATATAGTATCTATGTGAGTGTCTGTCAGCTCTTGTCAATCTATATAACGTATACGCCCCTTTGGCGAAATGCCGCTTTTCGTTGTCGCTTGCCATTTCGTGAATCACAACAGCGCATACTGTTGTTGTCAATTTACAAACAATTCCATTGTCACTCTATGCACTCTACGTTGCAAACAGGGTGCGGCTCCCCTCTTGGCTCTATGTGTATGGCTTTACAACAACATCAAACGTTGCCTTTGCTGTGCTGCTAACATTTTAATTTTTAATACAACCCTCGCAACTCCCAACTCTTGGCTCAATACGCATTTGAAACTCTAAACACACTTTAAATGGCTTCGCTCTCGTTTTAATTCAATTTAAAATATTTAATTTCTACAAAGGCACAAAGGAGATACAAGTGCAATTACAACAATGTAGTGTTCTTATTAGAGCTTCCATTTAGAGCGGCATTAAAACGTTTTATATTAGGGACAATTTGAACTATAGTGCATGGCCATAAGTGGTCCTATAAATCAACTGTTAAATGTGATAGATTAAACTTTTGACTCTGATATACAAAAATATTATTTTCTGTCATTTAGTTAAAATTTAATAAATAAATGATTTCTTATATGCACATATTACTGATAAGAATAACTGGAACACCTTTCTAACAATCAGAGTGCTTTTGTCGGCAGTACCCGACAAGAAAATACCCTAAATGCTGCGTAGTGTTATTATTACAACGAACTTACTTATGCGGTAGCTGTGATTTGGATCCGCTTATGGACTTGTCGATTGTTGAATAACATGTTTAGTTTAGAGTGTAATAATGATATCCAGAAGTGTGTATCTATTGTGTGACATAATTTTTTTCAAATTTAGAAAATCTGTGTATTCACAGCAGTTAATATGGTAAATTTGACATCTTCAGCTCTTCTGGTATTTAAGCTAAGTCTAAAAGTCTAAAATAAAATAAAAATCAATAAGTTTTGTTCCTTATGAGATAGCTACTCGCATTCGTACGAACAGACTAACATAGTTAGAGACCTATTAGGCTCATCGTCCTGATCAAAAATTAAAATACTTTATGACAGCTGCCATGCCTCATGCGGTGCATAAACAAATTATTTATCATGAATTCCCATTTCAAATGCGTTGAGCTTATGAAAATTGCAAGATCAAATTATCAGCAATAGAAACTGATTCCTCCGATGGAAACTTAACACCTGAATAAAGTTACTTTGGCATCGGAGCTGTGAAATCTGATCTTATTGTTCTAAAAAATGGAACTGTATTTTTCTCTATCTGCCAGGCTTAGTTTTTTTCATTCTATCATTCAGTTACAAAGGGTTGCCTTTAATTTGAATTCAAATGGTAAATCCAGTTTTTTAATCAATGGGTAGGCAACGAGTGTGCAATGAAACATTCAAGTGCGAAAAACTCGCTTTGAACAATTTTCTAACGAAGTTGGCAAAACGAAACGCCCAAAAAAAAAAAGAAAACAAAAAACATGGGAAAAATAAATTGAAAAACTATGAATTTAAAATGAAAGAGGGTTCACTCGAGTGTGTGAATGTTTTGGCGGCTTTGATCGACTTCGCCTTTCAATTTGCAGACACAATACAAACGCGATAAAAAGCAACACAAATGTTTACAAATCTAAGAGGAATCGACAATTGCGAGCTCGTATTGACAAATAAAAATTCCCCAGTTTTCATTTTAAATAAATGATAAATATATTTTATATTTATATTATAATTCAAAATTGATTAATATCAAAAGTAATCCTTATAGTACTTACGACAAACATAAAATAAACAATTTTTATTGGCTTTCAATTAATATAAATAAACTTTATAAATTGTAAATATATAAATATTTATAAATATATTAAAATATATATAAATATATATAAATATATATCTATATATGCATAAAGCGCTTACGCCCCTTTAATTGACTATTAAAATATGCGACATAAAAAAGCAAAAACAAAATAAATGCCATGAGCAATGAAACCTTTGCGATTCGATCGAAAATGCGCTTAGCATATTAAACATTCAGTACGCAAATAGAATTTGACGCGAACAGTCGACTTGCAACGCAACACAATAATATTTCTTGTTCAACTGGACGTCGAATAGCCTTTAATGTTTCAAGTATTACAAAGAGAGCTGTTTGGAATTTGCTTGGTACTACTCAGCCTGCAATATGGTAACAAAAATTTCGTCATATATTTAACTAAAAGTGCTCTAGTAAGAGAGCGCCCCTAGGAGATACCTTTCTTACTAGAGCATTATATATATATTTATATATATATATATATATATATATATATATATATATATTAAAAGTAAAGCATGTAGTGTGGAAGGTATACAGGAATATACATATAATACTTTAAAACTTTTGAGTTGCGAGCTCGTTTGAGTTCCATTTTCAACGGCTTTAAGTTTTAAAAACTATTGAATTCCACATTTTTCCAATATTTACAGCCTATGAAACAGAAGCGGGAATGCCCAAGGTCCCCAATAACAAATTCGAATGCAAGGATGGCAAGCGCATTGACCATTCTCTTATTTGCGATGGTAATAAGAATTGTTTAGATGGAAGCGATGAGACATTTGAAGTTTGTCACGATTTCAAGTGCGACAAACTTCGTTGCAGTTACGGCGGCTGTATCGAAACTACCAATATGTGTGATGGCAAAAATGATTGCTGGGATGGTACAGACGAGTACATTTTCGATTGTAGTAGCGAAACACATCTATTCAATACATTTATCAGTGGTGAATGCACGTAAGCTAGTCGGGTGTGCCCGACTAGGAGGTACTTTCAACCTTGCGCAGAGCTGACATTCCTATTACGTAGAGTGCACAGTAAACATTCGAGTAAGTGTATGTGTGCATGTATAAAAGAACCGTAAAATTACAAAAAAGCAACTCTGCGCAGGCTTCACGGTATCTCCTACTCGCGCACTTGAACATTCTTATTTTACATTTATTTTTTATAACTTATTTTATTTTTTTAGTGATAGCCAACACAGCCAGTTTCAATGCAGACAATCAAAAGAATGTCTGTCCTACTACGAAGTGTGCGATGGCGTTGAGAATTGCTCCGACAAATCGGATGAATCACCTGAGCTTTGCGTGGGCACCATTTGTCTCGAAGGCACCTTCCGCTGTGCATACGGCGCCTGCATTTCCAAAACTGCACTATGTAATCATGTAACCGATTGTCGCGATGGCTCTGATGAAATTGCTTCCATATGCAGCAAAGACTTCAATATGTCGTGGTATACAAATCTCTGGCAAAAACAGGATATACCAGACACAATTGACACCACCACGATCCGGATTTCACATGAAAATGAGAAAAGCTGCAAAGTGATCGGGGCTAATGTGCATCTTAAAACTATGTATAACGGTCTACCATATTTGGGCGAAGGAACCGTACCACATATGACGACGGTGAGACTCAGTTGCGGCTTTAATTTTGTGCGCCAGGGCAGCGATGTGAACACATGCGACAACGGTGAATGGATGGCACCTTGGATCGAATGCATCAAAGGCTGCAAGAGCAGCACGATCACAAATGATCGCAGCATTCAAGCCGTTTGCACTTATGAGGACGAAATCGTCGACTGCTCCACACTGCTCCACTTGCCCAAAACTATTGCCACCACAAAGTGTGCTCAGGGCTATAAGCACACTGAGGCTATTGCTCAGGGCGAAGTTGAGTGCAAAGTTGGTGGCTTTTGGCGCAGGCGTAATGCAGTGTCCGTAAAATTAAAGTGCATACCCGACTGTGGCAGGACTTTTGATACGGTTAAGGGCGATCCGTGGGTGGTTAGTGTATTTAAGCGCATGGGGCCTGATAGACATAACTTTCAGTGCCTGGGCACAATTATAAATCCTTCCTATGTCCTAACTGTGACCAGTTGCTTTCAACACATGCGAGGCATAACCGAATATTCCATAATAATGGGCAATCATACAAACAGCTTCAACCCGAACAGGGAGCACGGCTACGATGTGCGCCACATTAGCACGATCATCAGCAAATTGTGAGCAAAGAAATGAAAGAAGAAGCGGTTTATATAAAACGTAATTGTATTTCTCTGCATATTTCCAGCAAGCCTCTAGTACTGCTTAAAATGGTAAATCCATTTGTACTCTCAGCGAAGGAACGACCCATTTGCCTTGAAGAAATCGCGAATGATTACAATGGACCGAAACCATTGCCTCAGGGAATGGCTGTAGTCAATAAGAAAAATGGCACTAGCTCCTTGACACATGTTTCAAATATCACACACATTATCGATTTCCAGGACTTTCGGGATAGTATTAAAGATGAAATCGAACAAGCATGATCAACATGAAAACTGTAATAATTTATGAGTATATTTATATACGCACACGTCATTAATCTTCTGTTCTATTCAAAACTGTCGTATTCAATAAATTTTAAAACTAAAGTTAAATAAACTTCAATAAATCTAAATAAAGAGAAATTTCTTCTATTGCTTTTCATTTATTTCTTATATTTACAGCTTCATATTTAGTAGTAGTAATATCTGGAGTAGTAAGCATTCAATTGCTGTCAAAATTTGACTGAGTATTGGGGTCCACGACTATGAAGCTGTACTTGGGTTCAGTCATGAACATTTTGATTTTAACACACTAACAACACTTTATTTTATATATGTTTTTTTTTATTATACTTAATTAGATATATTTTAATTGTAGTTTTATACAATTTTAAGTGTTTTTTAAACCAATTTTAAGACACTCCCACACGTATTGCAATAAAAAAAACTATGTTCAAGAGACTTTCCGCACCAGATGTAGCTCTCGCTAAGAAGTTGGCGCCTTGGGAGAAAATCAAATGGAAGGATGATCAACTGCAGTCCATCTATACTGACTGGGGCAAATACTTTACTAAGAATTCGCATCTGAACCTTGGTACTCAATATCTTGATGCTGCCTTAAAGATACGCCCCGAAAACTCTAAAGCCCTCATAAGGAGAAATCAGGTGAAGCTGGCCGAGGGGCGGCCGATGGAGGTGCTCGCTGATGCGATGAAATCAAAGAGTTAAGAGTGAAACGTTGCATAAAATATATTATTATATAATATGTTCGCAAATCACAGATATTATTGGGAAGAATATTCATCGCGGCTCATGTCACGAATTTGATTTGCAGATTTGTGATGCACTCCTGGAGTCGAATCAGTTTGAGGAAGCAAAAAGATTCGCTCACTCCAACCTGAAGGCTCTGAACCATTCGCAAATGTTATCTATGCAGAAACGTATAGCTGTGGTGGGTAAAATGTATATCAGCCCAGAACGATCAGCAGTAATGATCTATTTCCTAACTTATTTATAGGCTAATAGTGTTTTATGTCACGTGCTATCCCCTTCAACAGAATTACCTTTGTATAGACTGAAAAAAAATATGATAGCAGATAAGGCCACGAAGCCCAAAGTCGTGAAGTCCGACTGTGATGTGCTCAGCATACAAGCAAAAGAGGTAAGAAAATCAAATTTTCTGAGCACTATTTTAGTTTAAAATAAATATTTTTTTCAGCCAAAGATTCTTTCGCCACTGGGAAAAAAGCGTCATGAACGTCGGCTTATAGCATTTTCCCAGGTATATGTGCCCTACGCTTGGAAGGACATTATATTTCTGAAGAACATACGCGACAATCCGAATCTTCTAGTAAAGCAGAGTATTGAGTCATCAGATTTTTTGCAAACTTTGGTCAATGATAGGTACAACACAGTGCGAAGCTTTACCGTAAGTTTTTACATAAAATACGCTTGAACTTAAAACGATGCTCATTCTACCTTTTCTTAGAGAATGCTGCATGCCCGCCAGCCCATCTACAGCAAACAGTATATGAATACGGACCTCTACCGCAAGAACCATCAGGATAACTTCTTTCGCATACAGTATCAAACGAGGCGTAATATGTTCTCGATACTGCAAAATATTCGAGCTTTGATTAAGAAAAATGACCTAACTGTAAGCCACTAATATACTTGTATATATATATTTAATTCACATGTTATCCGTTTTAGAAATTAACAAAATATGTGACCGATGTAATGGACTCCTATGTGGCAATCAAAACGCACCGAATCATGCCTTGGAAATTTGAATTTATTAATGAGGTCTTCAACTACTTGGGTTTGGCCCGCATTAATAAATACAAAATTCCAAGCAATCTTAATACATTGGGGCGATCAAATCTGATAACTCTACTTGGGATTCCGAAAAATATTTCAAATATTTGCAATGTAATAAATAATAATTTAGTTCAGATCAAAAAAGAGAAGATCGGCGACACGAAAGACACCTTCAAGTTAGATCTTATACGCATACACAACTATTCATTTACGATAATTATATTTAATTTGTATTACAGAAATCGCATTAGTTATTTAGAGAATCGCCTGCGATTCGCCACGTATACCATAGAGCGCTGTTTTTTGTACCACGAGCAGGCACAGGCGAGCCTGGATAATCATTCCTTTGATAAGTGCTGCCTTCTCGCCCGCAAGTCAATGGATGGTATGTTTTAATCACTTGTCTTGTAATCAACTCTCTGTCATAATGTCTTACAGAAGCCAACCGGGGTCATCACTATGTATGGGGTGTTTTGAGCGCCCTCATCGCCTGTAAAGCACACACAGTGTTGGGAAAAGTTGAAAAACAGAAGGAAACACTGAAAGAAGCGCTAAACTTCGCCAAGCATCTGAAGAACATTGATCTCATTCTGTTTATTGACATTTGTCTCAAGATAAACAACGAGGAAATTGAGTTGAAGAATTATCTAACTGGAACCGATGGCTACGTTAAACGTCCGCAGCGTCGCCTAATCTCAAGCATTGAGAACTCTGAAAGCTCTATCAATACAAATTCCAATATAATTGCACCCGAAATGCGTCATGAATAATATTTATGTTACTTATATATAATATTATAATATGTATATACACATGTATATATGTATATATATATATAAAAATATACAGATATATATATATATATCTATATATATATATATGTATATATATATTTTAATATATAAATATAATTATATAAAATTTACTATCGCAGCTGCCATTCGAGTATGTCCAAAAGTTTCGACTTTGCGGAAAAACTTAGTGAGGTTTTTCAATCTTCCTTTCTAGATGTGCTGCTTGGGCGAAAGTTTTGTTAAAGCAGAAATGCCGCAAAACACACGAAGGAGGAAACATTAACGCGTCGTGGACATTCAATCACTGCAAGTGCTGCAACAACATTAGCAACAACAACTTTTCTTAAAACTTTCCGCTCTCGTCTTATTTATAAACATTAAATATTTCTTCCAAAAGTTGACAGCATTTTCTAAATTCCAGCTGTGGGCATTTTTATTCTATTATCAATTACGCAAATCTCGATTGTAGCCGTTTTGCAGTCTATTTAGTTTGCATGTTTATAGCTCCGACCTCTTCTCATTTCTGCGAATGTTTTTAACAATCATACAATAAGTAAATGTCAAACGGATGGACGTATCAAGCATGAATACTGTAAATTACGTATCTTATTCAAATTTCACTTTAAGATACCCTATTCACGTATCTTGCAGGGTAATCAAGCTTCGTCGATGCTCAGGCTGAACAGCTTGCAGCTTGTTAAGGCAAACTTTTCGCACACGGCATCTGCTCTGGGGACGCATGGGTGGGGCTGAGGAGGCGTGGTAAACGTAAATCAGGATTTCTTCTGCTGTGCACGCCCACTGCGGGCGGAAGTACCGCTAACACTGCACAAAAGACGCAAATAAATGAAGCCATTTGTTGTGCTGTGCGCTGATTTTTGATGCAAAGGTTGCCGCTCGAGTCGCAGCAAATCGCAGCCGGTCGCAGCAAAGTTTCTTGCCACCTGCCATTGAAAATTGTTAACAATTTCCATTAGTTGCTTGTCATTTAAATTCCGCATGTATTTTTAAAATTCAGCACGCCAAGTCGGCCCCCAATCCCACCTCCAGCTGGAAGCGATCTACTCCTCGCCCGGCCGTAGTGCCCGTGTGTTTCCAGCTAGTTTCTGCTGCAGGTGTTGTCCAACTTTGTTCGCAGTCAAGTCGAGAGTTTTGTGGAGCATACAAATGATGTACATGCAACGGAAGTGGATAATTTAGCAGCGGAAATCATTTGTCGCCCTTTTTGTCAGCTGTAAGTCCAGCATAATTTTTCGCTCTTTAATTTATGACCTGGCCATAATTAATTGAAGCATAGCTTGAAGTTTCATAAGAATTTGTGTCAGATTGTCGCAATACAGAGAAACACTTTCTTAATATTGATGGAACAGAATTATATAACTATAACTTGAATCCGTACAAAGAATTTTCCAATGAAATTTCTAGGTCTTCATGGTTGTGAATGAAGTAGAATTGTATTGTTTTATGTTTTATGTTTTATTTATATCTTTCAGCTTTAGCATTCCTTCATTTGGCAACCCATTATTCTGTCTTAAGCTTGTGTAATTATAAAAATACACCGATTTTTGGTGACCAAATAGCACAATGAATATCAATGAATTAAAACCGATCTAAAAGTAGTATGCCTTTAAATGAATTAAGTGCCTTTAAATCCAAAGCAGTGTAAACATGTTAGCTTTCCGCTTAAAACCGTCTTAAGGAAATGCAATACAAGCTATTCTATTTTGATTTTAGTTTGAATTTTAAGACTACTTCGGATTTAATGCTTCCTCGGGGCTTCTTCTTCATAAGTATACTTGCAGAAATCGGCTTTAAGCCGTTCCGAATTACCGCAAATTGCGCTCAATGGAGTTGCTGAGGCGGATTCAGAAATGTCTTCAAGCTGCTGCTTTGTGATTTTCCCTGCGAAATTGCACAAAGCCCAATATGAACAAAAAGAATGCTCGTTAGATGGAATGGGCTGTGGAAGGGGATGTCAGGGCAAAACAAAGCCAATTGGCAGCAGGCAGCTAACAAACTGCAACTCAACTTTGTAGACAGACCGGAGGCATTTGCTGTTGCTGCTTTTATTGTTGTTGCTGTCGACGTCAACGCCGACGCATGCCATAAAAATGCAGCAGCAGAAAATTTGCTGCTTGCAAGCAATTAAAAGCGCAGCAAAGCAAATAAACGGCCACGCCCCTGATCTAGTAACGCCCACAGCCATTGTAGACCTTAACTAAACGAATGTCGTTCCGCCCCATCACCCTTCGTCCACCGCTTAAGCTTTATGTAGTTGCCAAGTTGACGTAGTAGCTGACTAATTAGTCATAAAATTACATGACGCAGGGCGAGCAACAGCACGACAACGATAACATGACAGAAGGAGAGACTCCCGCAAAGGCCCAGCAAATAGCAGTCGCATCCGAGCAGCCAAGTCAAAGTGCAAAGTGCCACCGGAAGCAGTTGGCGCTGACGGAAATGCGTGCCTGTCCCAGCGATCGGGCTGGGCGATTGGGTGGTTAGCCGCCGGTGGGTGCCTGACCCGCTTACGAGCTGGATGGCTAGGGACAGAGGGCAGTAAACTGGTGTGTCACTAATTGCTGATTTCCCTCTGTTGGCAACGGCAACTGCCACAGGAACTTGGTACGGACCACATGCAGTTTCAATACAAAAATAAAAGCTGTAAAGCACTAAACGTGTGAGGCATTAAAGCATATTAAATGTGTCTGAAATTCTAAGAAAAGCCCCAGCAGGTATTATGAAAACGTGAGCCTTTCAAAGAGTTTTTAACAGGAATTTGAAGCTTAAATAAAAGTAGCACTCTCCTGACCTTAAGATATGTGTTCAAGCTTTAATAATGAATAAGGTTTTTTATATATCTTAGATATGTTTATAAAGGTGCCTTAAGCTATAGACTCTTTGGTCTCTGTAGTCCCTTAAATATAATTATATATATATAAAGTAAAGCTTCTAATAAGCAGCAACTAATTATAATCTAGATAAGTCTATTTTAAGAAATACAATCAAGGTAAATTGAGCACTATATTTAACTTGAGTGTATATTAATGTGACCATTAAGCTATACTGCTTGATGCTCAAATCAAACTTAAGTTATTGTTTATTTAATGTTTAACAAACCACTTTTAATGGCAGAATACACGATTTAACATTTTTCACGCATCCATCTCGGAATGGTTTTATATATTGGAAAACTAGAACAGGAACTGCAATGGGCGGCAAAAAAACAAACAGAGCGAGTGACGGAGAGAGAGATATAAAACCAGATAAAGTTTACACTGGGAATAAGAGAAAGAGCAAGAGGGTGAGAGAGATGTAGATAGAACAGAAGGAGGGGAGTGGGAGGTAAGGCCGCACATTTGCCACATCACTTATTAGCTTTATTGCTTTTAACAATTTGAGCTTCCGCTGCTTGGCAGCGCCAACTAAAACGTGTGCTGATTAGTGGCAGGAATCGTAGCAGGAGCCGTGGAGCGGTGGCAATACTCGTTGTGTGGCAACGCCATAAATTTCTGTGGCGCAGGCAGACTAGGGCGCGGTGCACGGAGGAGCAGCGCAGCCCACGCAAAGAGCGGCGTATGCAACATTTAACATTGCAGACAATTTATAAGGACATTCATGGCACACGGCACAGACAGAGGCACAGGAAGAGACAGAGGCGTAGGCGATGGTGATGGCGACGAATGCGCTGCATTGCGAGGCCAGGCACATGCTTGGCACTTGCCACAATGCCACGCCCTCCAACTCTCCTCTTCCGCCCATATGCTTCTTTCTCGCATTGTGTTTGGAATTCAACATTTAAGCCACTTATGGCCAAGTTGAACTGGCATTTCAAAGGCTGCGACGGCAACGGCCGCAGGACAATGCAGGTTAGCAAGATTTATGGCAGACATGGAGACAGTTGGAGAGCGAGAGAAAACGAAACAGAGAGAGAAAGAGAGATAGGAAAGTGGGAGAGCAACTAGATAGAGTGACGCCTTGACGCGCTTTTATGTGCCGCTTCGGTTGCAGTGGCATGCACATTGTGGCCATGGTGTGACTAATCCTTGCGACTGCGAATGCCCGACAGCGTTTAAAATAAAGCAATAGCATGTGGCATGCAGCATGCTGCTGTGGAGTGTAATAAATGGTCATATGCCAACTGCTAACTGCAATTATCTGGGCATTAGACGAAGGTAACCACCCTCAACTGCTCGCAGCTGAAATCCCGCCAGCCAGTTTCGATCAACAAAAGTTTTTCTCACAATCGTCCTCTCTGGCCTAATAGAAGAGGACTTCCTGCATCGAAGACAAAGAACACAGGCAGCAAAGCAGCTGAAACCACTCATTGAGGACAGCTGCAAATGTTGGCCAAAAAAAGAGCATGCAAACAGCTAGAAGCTATTGCCTAGCCAGTGCTGATAGAGGAAATCCAAAGCAAGGCTAAGTATGGCAGGGATTCGCCTGTAAAATGTGCGCAAAATTAGATTCAAAGTGGGGCATGCATATCTGTGCATGCCATTTAGATAAATTGTATTTATTTTGTCTGACAATTGTATTTTGGACGGGGCGTTACTCTACACACAAATGGTGTGTAGCTGCACCATAAACCCAGCAGCACAGCAGCTCAACAAGGCCAACAAAAGTTTTGGTAGCACTAGCAATTTGTATTCGGAACCATTCTGACTCTAAAGTCAATCACTCCAATATATAAAATATGTAATGGAACATGGTACATCTAGTTATATATATAAATTATTAATGAGTTTCATCATCATTAATGAGTTTCATCAAACAAATGCCATTTATACTTTACATTACACTGATTTAAGACAAGTCATTATACATGAATCCAACAGAGTTTGCTTCTGTGTGTGCGTGTGTCTGAAATCAAATGTTACTATAGTACAAGGCTTCTTCCCTCCATCCTGCTCGAATTCGAAATTATACTCAATGCAGCAGTAATAAACCTGGAAGCCGTCTGCACAGGCTTCATG